ATGACATATAGACACACACATACATATACACACAGAGTATGACACACAGACATACACACAGAGCTAGTATGACACACACACACAGATGTACACACAGAGCTAGTATGACAGAGACACATACATGCATACACAGAGAGAACTAGTATGACACAGACACACATACATACACACATACACACACACAGGAGCAGGAATTACCCAAGGGAGAGACCCAGCGGGCACGCGTCCAGCCTGCCTCCGAGGGCACCCTCCCCGTGACCATGAGAGCCGCCCGCGTCACAAATCAAGACGTCTGTCCCCGCTATCTTCACCCTGAACTGCGCCCACTCCGTCACCGCCCGACCGCTGTCCCCACAGGGTAAGACAGACAGACAAACAGTGTAAGGCACTGCTCACTGTCCGAACCAAATGAGCCTCTTGTTCCTGCTTCTCAGCCCTTCCCTACACCCCGTTTGGGGGCAGGACACAGACCCTCCCAGGCCGGGACAGCCACGTGAATGAGTACCGGCTTCCCATACAGAAGGATCCGTCCCCCCGCATGCTCTTTGAAGATATGGCTTATCTGGCCCGAAACAAGAATTTGAGCAATTTAGATTAAATTCGCGAGAGACAAGCCGCCACGGTGCCACGCTACATATAATAACGGCGGGTTTTGTGGGTTTTTTTGTTTGTTTGTTTGTTTTTGCAATTTAGAAGCAGCCAGAGAGGGGAACCATGGAGGCTATGGCGAGAGACTGACATGGTCCGCCCAGCTCCATGGTCGGGATTTCAGATCTTAGATCCTGGAGTTTCGCTTAATTTTTTTTTTTGGTGTTTTTTGTTTGTTTGTTTTGTGACCTGGAAATGGGGAATATTTCCCCATTGATTTTTATAGAAAAGTGGAAGGGAGGGGGAGAGACACGCAGAGAGAAACACTGATGTGAGAGAGACATTGACTGGTTGCCGCCCTACATGACCTTGATCAGATTCGAGACTGAGACCCTTCAGTCCACAGACCGACAGCTCTCTGTCCACTGACCCACACCGGCCAGGTGGAAGTTTTAATTTTATTTATTTATTTATTTATTTTTAAGAGTAGCCGCTGCCACCATTTCCTGAGAACCTACTATGTGCCGGCTGGTCTGTCCGGTGCCCTCTCTGCCCGTACCTGTGTCACAGATGGAGGATGAGGCCTGGGGGACACGGTGTCCCCGCCGTTCTCCAACCTTCGCCGCGCGATGCCCCTTGCCCTTACCTGAACGTCGTTCGCTCTTTTCAATCCCGTTTTGTGCAAAAGTGTATGTTGGCGAAACCCATTACCTTGGCGACGGTCTCCCTGTCTCCCGTTTGCTCCAACCCAGGCCGCCTCCCACCCGAGGATGCGCTCAGAGGCCCCAACCCCCACCGGCCACCCCTCCCGCCCAAACCACACCTCCGAACCACCCTCTGCCCTCCGAGTGAGCCAGCAGCCCACGTCCTCCCTGCCCACTGGTGTGCAGGCAAGAGAAGCAAGAGAGAGACATAGGGCCCTTGCCTAGTGGCTTAGTGGGTTTGAGTCGTGGTCGGCAAACTGCGGCTCGAGAGCCACAGGCGGCTCTTTGGCCCCTCGAGGGTGGCTCTTCCACAAAACACCACGGCCTGGGCGAGTCTATGTGGAAGAAGTGGCGTTCGAAGAAGTTTACGTTTACAGAATTTGGCTCTCCAAAGAAATGTCAATCATCGGACTGTGGGTATTTGGCTCTGCGGACTCATGAGTTTGCTGACCACCGGGTGAGAGCCTCGGCCCCCTACGCTGAGGCTGCAGGTTCGATCCTCAGTCAGGTCACGTACAAGCAACACGCGGTGAATGCATCAACCCTTGGACCAACAGATGGATGTGTCTCTCTCTCTGAACACGAAAACACAAATGGGTTTGTTTTTTTAAAAGAGAGACACATAGGCATGCAATGAAAGAGAGAAGCTTGGCGGCCTGGGGTGAATGGGGTGCAGGTGGGGGCAGGGAGGGGCTAAAAGAGGCCAACAGCGGGGAGGCAGAGAAAGAGCATATATAAAACTTTCAACAATAAAGATTATTTAAAAAGAAAAACTGGGAACAATAGGACACATCGGGGGGACGTTGGAAGGCACCCCAGCTGGTTTCTAAATTCTAGGCTTGCAGCCATCAGCCTGGGGGTGTCACCCCAACACGTCTGTCCCGAGTCCCCGAGGATGAGACCCTTATTTAGAAGCAAATGCCTGGTGTGGGGTGACAGTCAGCCCAGATCCGTGGTCGGCAATCCACTGCTCGAGAGCCACAGGCGGCTCTGTGGCCCCTTGCGTGTGGCTCTTCCACAAAATACCACGGCCTGGGCGGGTCCGTGTTGAAGAAGTGGCGTTAGAAGAAGTTGAAGTTTAAAACATGTGGCTCTCCAAAGAAATGTCAATCGTTGTGGTGTTGATACTTGGCTCTGTGGACTCCAGGGTCAGGACGAGGCTGAAGGAGCGGGGTGGTGGCCCGGAGACCCAGGCACTGGCCGCCTCACCATCCCGGCGGCAGGCGGGGGCCGGCCCGGAGGGCGCCGCCGTGTGATCTCCACGCCTGACTATAAAAGGCAGGGGCTGCGGCTCGGGGCACGTGACCCCCTTTCTAAATAAAGCTCCCCACTCAGGGTCAGCTGACCCGGGCGGGGGCCGTCCTTCGCGACCCGGGGAAGACAGAGACAAGCTCTGATGGGTCACACGAAGCCGGGGCCACCCCGCTGACCCCCTTGGCTCCCAGCTGCACACCTGCAGGTCTGTACCACCTGACCCCTGGCCCCGGCCTGGGAGCTGGTTACATTTCATCAAAAGAAACACCCATCCCGAGGTGCTTAAAATTTAAAAAAAAAAAAAAAAAAAAAAAAAAAAAGAGGAGGAGGAGGATGAGGAGGATAAATGTTAAGATGGAATAATGGCTCTGGCCGGTTTTGCTCAGTGGATAGAGCACAGGCCCAAGGAATGAAGGATCCTGGGTTCGACTGTGGGTTGCGGGCTCCATCCCAAGTAGGGGGCATGCAGGAGGCAGCTGATCCATGATTCTCTTTCATCACTGATGTTTCTCTCTCTCCCCCTCTCCCTACCTCTCTGAGATCAATAAAAATAAAAAATAAACACACGATGGGACTTAGTTTAGCAGCAAGGCACTAGATTACCTGAGAGAAAATGGGGGAAGTCAGGGCCCATTCTAGAACTCAAGAGCCAAAAAGCACCTAAGACGAGCACACAGCAGGCAAGAGAACTAGATTCTGCCCGGCTAGTGTTGCTCAGTGGTTGAGCGATGACCTAGGAACCAGGAGGTCACGGTTCGATTCCCGGTCAAGGACACACACCCGGGTTGCAGGCTCCATCCCCAGGAGGGGGCGTGCAGGAGGCAGCCGATCCATGATTCTCTCTCCTCATCGATGTTTCTCTCTCTCTCCCTCTCCCTTCCTCTCTGACATCAATAAAAATATTAAAAAGAGAGAGAGAGAGAGAGAGAACCAGGCCCTCCCACAGGAGCCTCCCAGTCCCTCCCTCCGGGCACATGGCCCGCAAATAACTTGCCCAGAGCAACCAACCAAGGCCACGGGCCAAGCCTCGGCTTTGAAGACCATTTCCCTCCTCCTCCTCCTCCTCCTCCTCCTCCTCCTCCTCCATCCGGGGCCCCGCCTCCTTGGACGAGACTAGCAGGGAGCTACCACCCAGGGCGCACCCTCCCTGCCAGCTGGGAGCCGGACGTGGGGGTGGTGACAGGGCCCTGGGCAGCAGCGGGCCGTGGGAATGACCCCGGGAACCCCGTCTTTCACAATCCCGGGGCCGCTTGGCCGGCGCGGCCCTGGGATGACACGCTGTTCTCCGCGCAAGGGGGAGCGCGTCTCTCCCGACAATAAATCTCCCCCAGAGGAGGTGCCGCGCCGGCCCCCGGGGTGACGGCCAAGAGCCGGAGGCCGCGCCTGGGATGGATGCGGCGGTGCCAGCGGCCCTGCCGTGGGGGCACCGGCCTGGAGGCCGCCTTTTCCTTTCATCTTTATCTTATTTTACTTTTTATTTTATTTTTAAAAATTATGTATATAATTTTATTGGTTTTTTTACGGAGAGGAAGGGAGAGGGACAGAGAGCTAGAAACATGGATGAGAGAGAAACATCATTCAGCCGCCTCCTGCACACCCCCTACTGGGATGTGCCTGCAACCAAGGCACATGCCCTTGACCGGAATTGAACCTGGGACCCCTCAGTCCACAGACAGATGCTCTATCCACTGAGCCAAACCGGTTTCGGCTTATTTTACTTTTTAAATGCCCACCCGAGCATAGGTCCCCATGGATCTTGTAGAGAGAGTGGGGGAGAGAGAGACAGAGACAGACAGAGAGACACATCGACGTGAGAGAAACACATCCATCAGTCACCTCTCGCCCACGGCCCGGGGCCCTGGATGAGCCCGCCACCCAGGTACGTGCCCTTGACCCCCGCATCGAACCCGGGACCGTTGAGGTCCACGAGCCCATGCTCTCCCCCACTGAGCCACACTGGCCAGGACCCGGCGCATCCTTTCTAAGAAGCGTGTGATGGGCATGGTCTCCGTGGCAACCACGCCCGCCACGCCCTGCATCCCTCGAGTCCCCGGAAGCGACAGAAAGCCAGCCAAGACCGAGGTGACCAGAGACGTCCTGCTTTTGGCAGGAGACAGTCTGGATTTTGAACCACGTGTCCCAAAAGTCGGGTTTTTTGTTTGTTTGTTTTTTTTAAAAACATCGCAGGACGCGGGAGCACATGGTTAAAAATCGGGGCTGTCCCGCCAAAAGCGGGAACGTCTGGGTCACCTTAGCCAAGACCCCCTCCCTGCTTCCCCCCAAAAAAAACCCTCCCCACGGCGGGTCCTCCATGCAAGACCACCCAGCCGCCCGGTGTGCAAGCCGTGCACATGGAAGAGGAGGGAGCGAGGGGGCGGGACGGGACCGGGGGGGGGGGGTAGAGGGAAGGGGAGGGGGGCAGAAAGGAAGCCGGCGGGGGGGGGGGGGCCTTACTTTTCTGGCAGTGGTCCTGGGTCCAGCAGCGGTACTTGTACTCGTTGTTGATGGAGGTGCGGTTGCAGGTGGAGGTGCCCTCGAGGGCGCCGGGGCACACGTCCCCGCACTCCTTGGGGTTCTTGTTGCCGGCCACGTAGTTGTTGGACACGGAGTCGAGGACGAGGGACCAGTCCACGGTGGAGACGTAGCACAGGTCGGCGTTCTTCTCGATGCGCACGGCGCCGCGCGTGATGTTGCGCAGGTTGCGCAGGCCCAGGTCCTTGAGGCTGGCCATCTCGAAGACCACCAGCGCGTAGTTGTAGAAGAGCTTCCAGCCGCGGATGACGGTGAGGTTGGGGAACAGGTCGCCGATGCTCTCCAGGCCGGCCACGCGGAACAGCAGCAGGTACTCGGTGATGACGGTGAGCTTGGGGAAGCGGTAGCTGCGGTAGTCGTCGCCCTTGGAGATGAGCAGGATGTGCAGGTAGCCCTCGATCACCGTGCAGTTCTCCAGGCGCTTCAGCTGCCGGAAGTCATTGCGGATGTCGATGCCCGGGCCGCAGACTGCAGGGCGGGAGGGGGGAGGGAGGAGAGAGACACAAGAGGGCGAGACATGTGTGTGAGTGACAGGAAGCCCTTGTTATTTATTTATTTATTTTTAAGTAAATCCATTTTATTTATTTTTATTTATTTTTTTAAAATATATTTTTATTGCCGAAACCGTTTTTGGCTCGGTGGTAGAGCGTCGGTCTGCGGATTGATGGGTCCCAGGTTCGATTCCGGTCAAGGGCATGTACATTGGTTGCGGGCGCATCCCCGGTAGGGGGTGTGCAAGTGGCAGCTGGTCGATGTTTCTCTCTCATCGACTAGCTCTCTCTCTCTCTCTCTCCCTTCGTCCTCTTTGTAAAATATCAATAAAAAATATATTAAAAAAATAAATATATTTTTATTGATTTTTTACAGAGAGGAGGAGAGGGGGACAGAGAGCTAGAAACGTCGATGAGAAACATCGACCAGCTGTCTCTTGCACACCCCCTTACTGGGGATGTGCCCACAACCAAGGTACATGCCCTTGACCGGAATCAAACCCGGGACCTTTCAGTCCACAGGCCAACAGACTCTATCCACTGAGCCAAACCGGTTTCAGCCAGCCCTTGTTATTTTTAATTTTTGTTTCTGTTGCTCATTCTCACCTGAGGATGTTTTCTCATCCTTTTTTAAAAAATATATATTTTATTGATTTTTTTTTTTTTTTTTTTTTTTTTTTTACAGAGAGGAAGGGAGAGAGAGAGAGAGAGAGAAACATCGATGAGAGAGAAACATCCATCGGCCGCCTCCTGCACACCCCCCACCAGGGATGTGCCCGCAACCAAGGCACATGCCCTTGACGGGAATCGAACCTGGGACCCTTCAGTCCACAGACCGATGCTCTGAGAGAGAAAGAGTGAGAAACACAAGGCGGTGCTTTCAGGAAACCTAGATTGTCATTAAAAAATAAGACCAGCCCGGCCGGTGTGGCTCAGTGGTTGAGCATGGACCTACGGACCAGGAGGTCACAGTTCCATTCCTGGTCAGCGTACATGCCAGGGCCGCATGCTTGATCCCCAGTAGAGGGCGTGCAGGAGGCAGCTGATCCATGATTCTCTCTCATCATGGATGATTCTCTCTCTCTTCCTCTCCCTCTCTGAAATCAATTAAAAAATATATTTTCAAAAGCCATATTTCCACTGTGCTTAATGAATAAAAAAGAAAAGAAAAAAAAAGAGAGAAAAAGTGACCCTAACTGATTTGGCTCTGGATAAAGCATTGACCTGAGGACTAAAGGGTCCCAGGTTCGATTCCGGTCAAGGGCATGTACCTTGGTTGCAGGCACATCCCTAGTAAGGGGTGTGTAGGAGGCAGCTGATCAATGGTTCTCTCTCATTGATGTTTCTAACTCTCTGTCCTTCTCCCTTTCTCTCTGTAAAAAATCAATAATACACACACACACACACACACACACACACACATATATATATATTTATTTTTTTTTAAGGGGAAAAGGGTGAAGAGAGAGGGTCCTTAGACCCCTCGGGCCTCCATGGCTGCTGAGTCGGCAGCCCCACTTGCCGGCCGCGTAAGATCTGAGCGAACCCTCCATAAGCGCATTCATTCCACCCACGCCTACTCAGTACGTGCAACCCGCCACACACACACACACACACACACACACACGCACACGCACACGCACACACACGCACAAAAGATGGGGCTGGCAACGCTGTTATGATAACAAACACTGATACTGCTATCGTCGAATTAGTTCGAGTGGAATGCTCTGTGTTAAGTGTAAACAGACGCAGTTCATGTTAAGCCTTTTATCTCCACGTGTCAACGGGAATGTGTTTACATTGTATATACACATGCGTCTCTCCCCAGACACCCGTCCCCGCCGCCCGGCACGCTCTGGAACGGGAGGCGATGGTGAGGATGGAAGCGAGGGACTGCCTCGCACGGGGGATGCTGGGAATGAGACATTAAACGCCAAGAGTCACCGTCAATGGGCATAAGGGTCCTCCGGTGCCCTATGCGAGAGCCACTGCTACCCTCCGCAGAACCAGAACCGAACGGGTCATGCGTGCAAAGAGGCAGTCCTGGCCCTGAGGGGGTGGCCCAGTTAGTCATCAGAGCATCATCCTGACACACCAAGCTGGGGGGTTCCATCCCCGATCACAATGTGAACAAGAATCAACCAACGGTCCTAGCCAGGGTGGCTCAATGGTTAGAACGCCAGCCCGAGCCCCCACCCCCGCCCCCCCCGGAGGGTCACAGGTTTGATTCCCAGTCAAGGGCTCAAGCCTAGGTTTTGGGTCCGATCCCCTGCCCTGCTTGGGGCACATGCAGGAGGCAATCAGGGGATGGGGCGCTCTCCCATCAATGCTCCCCTCGCTCTCCTCTCTCTGGTTCGCCTCCCCTCCCCTCCCTTCTATTCTCTCTGAAAAAAAAAAAAAATCAATGGAAAGTTATGTGTTTGGACACGTGGGTGCAAAAAATAAATAAATAAATAAAAATAAAAAGGCACGGGTGTAGGAGGTGCGAACAAGACTTGGGAGATTCGATTGGATATCATTTCTGGATGTGCTCACGGGGTGTTCTGGCTGCCAGAAAGTAGCAAAAAATAAAACCTCCAGGTGGCCTCGGACCATGCTCATCAGGGGGGCTTCGTAGTGTAAAGGGGCCAGAGGTGAGCCCCCCAAACTGGGTTTGTGTCCACATTTATTTTTATAAAAAAAAATATATATATATATATATATATATATATTAATTTCAGAGAGGAAGGGAGAGAGAGAGAGAGAGAGAGAGAGAGAGAGAGAGAGAGAGAGAGAGAAACATCAATGATGAGAATCACTGATCAGCTGCGTGGCTCAGTGGTTGAGCGTCCACCTAGGAACCAGGTCACGGTTCGATTCCCAGTCAGGGCACAGGCCCCGGTTGTGGGCTCCATCCCCAGTAGGGGGCGTGCAGGAGGCAGCCGATCCATGATTCTCTCTCATCAATGTTTCTCTCGCTCTCCCTCTCTCTTCCTCTCTGAAATCAGTAACAATAGAATCTATATTTATACATAAAGAATCTCCCTATCAGACAGGGTCTGCTGAACACCCTGGCTGCTCTACCCTGGGCTGTTCTGGCCGAGTGACAGGAATGATGTCACGGACACCCCGATGGCAGGGCAGCGTGGCGAGGCCCTAACACGCCTTCTGAGTCATCTTTCCCCGACACCTCGTCTCTTCCTGCAGCAGATCGGTGCCAAGACTGCGGACAAATCCTGTCTGATTCATCCACCTGTGACCTGGCCCTGGATCCCCAAGATCTAAGCGCCCCAGGGTCATCTGTGTCCGTCAGTGCTTCTCCTTGAAAGGGACACAAAACACACACACACACACACACACACACACACACACACACACGGTCCTGGCCAGTGTGGCTCAGTGGATAGAGCACCGTCCTGCAAGATCAAAGGGTCCTGGGTTTGACTCCAGTCAAGGGCACGTGCCTCAGTTGCAAGCTCCTCATTGGCCCTGGTCAGGGTGTGTGCAGGAGGCAACCAACCGATGTGTCTCTCTCACATTGATGTTTCTCTCTGTCTCTCCCTCTCTTCTACTCTCTAAAAGTCAATGGAAAAATATCCTCGGGAGAGAATTACACACACACACACACACTAGACAGAAGAACGAACGGTACGCGACCTAGAGAGAGAGGAAACAGCCCAGTAAATATGAAAAACGGCCACTCTGTTCTGCTTTTAAGAGCAAGTGACTTAATTTCACTAACATTGATTTTTCCCCCAGGGCGATTTAATTCCGCCAACACCGCCTGAGCTCCTGATGCGACTCGGCAGTGACATCTGGGCCGGCCGCAGTCACCACGCACAGCGCAGAGGGAGGGTGGAGGCTGGGGGAGGGGGGGGGGAGTTGCTGAGATACGTGTGGCTCAGAGGTTGAGGCTGGCTTCTTCCTTAAAACCTGGGTCTCTTGGACAATTTGATAAAGCTAGGCCACTTCTCAAAAAACAAACAAACAAAAAAACAGTGGTCCCCACCCGGTGTGGCTCAGGGGATAGAGCGTCGGCCTGCAGACTGGAGGATCCTGGGTTCGATTCCAGTCAAGGGCAAATGCCCAGGTTGCGGGCTCCATCCCCAGGAGTGGGGCATGCAGGAGGCAACCGATCCATGGTTCTCTCTCATCATGCATGTTTTTCTCTCTCTCTCTCTCTCTCCCCCCCTTTCCCTTCCTCTCTGAAATCAAGAAAAGTATATATTTAAAAATATATGCACATAGTGCCCTAGATCAGTGGTTGGCAAACTCATGAGTCCACAGAGCCAAATAACAGGACGACGATGGACATTTCTTTGGAGAGCCCAATTTTTAAACTTAACCTTCTTCTAATGCCACTTCTTCAAAACAGACTCGCCCAGGCCGTGGTATTTTGTGGAAGAGCCACACTCAAGGGGCCAAAGAGCCGCAGGTGGCTCGCAAGCCGCGGTTTGCCGACCACTGCCCTAGATGGAGAGAGCCATGTTTCTTTCTCTCTTGTCCTCTCCTCCTTTCTCTCCCTCCTCTCCCCTGCCACTTTATCTAAAAAGCCGGTAGAAAAAAATAGCCTTACTCCTTGGGTGAGAAATTAAAAAGAAAAAACAAGAAACACATGAGCTATAGCGAGACACACGCAGCAGAGGGGGCACCTGGGCATAAACCAGGAGACGGGAAAACACCTCTCCAGCGGTGACGAGCCTCTGGGAGATGTATCTGAGCCTCTGGGAGATCTAGCGGGGAGGCTGCTGGCGTTGCCTGGGAGATCGATCAGCATCACCAGTTGCTGACAAGGTGGCTGAGAGCCGTCCATGCCTTTGTTTGGGGGCCGAGGCTGTCTCGGCAGCACCTCATTTCCTGACTTTTTTTTTTTTTTTTTTTTTCCCCCAAACGGGAGCTTTTCCCTCCTGCAGTGGCTTTCTGAGGCCGTGCACACGTCACAGGTGAGTTAGCAACTGGCTAGAGGGACTGGCATGGCCATCTGAGGGCGAACCA